AAGGGAATGCATGAGTGCAATATCGGGGTTCACTAGTTGGCAGCCCCCCAGAGCAGGAGGCACCACCAAGAAAAAGAACAAACTCAGCACAGAAATGAACCTGCATCAGAAGTCAGAGCCAAGGGGCTCTGGGAAGCTTACTCATCGCTAACGCTGAGCCCCTTCCCAGCTTTAGGAAGACACAGAAGATAAGGCATCTGTTTATTTTTAATTGGGTTTTATTTTTCCATCCTTTAGATACACATAGAACGTAAAAGGGAGCACAGGGCCGGGGGATGGGGAGCAAGGAGCAGCAGCCAGGTGCTTGGGGAACACGCGAGTGGTAGGTTTTGGGGCTCCCTAAGGCCCCTTGGTGCCACTACTGGGAAGGCGGAGGCTCAGGAGGGCAGGCAACCACAGGGTTAGTCCAGACCCACAGTCCACAATGACAGCATTAAAGAGGGCTTACAAAACAGCAAGATTTTACAAAGACCTTACAATAGCAACATAGAAAAGGGGAGGTAAATTCCAGAAAGCTACAGAACAGGTAGATAATGTCCTTCTCATATTGTACAAAAAAACCAAACCTGACAGACTTTCCTATAGGTAGTATTTTTTCAGTGTTGAAAAACCAAAATTTCACCTTTCTCCTTAAAAAATGTTTTTTAACTCCTTTCATTTAAATAGTTTTTTTTTTTTTTTTTTTTTTTTTTTTTTTTTTTTTGTAACTTCCCTATTTGATTTGAGTTTCCTGATTCAGCTCCCAGAGCTGGGCTTCTATTCCTCTCCCTTTCTCATGTCTCTTCCTCTGCCCTTTCTCCGTCCCTCACTCTTCCTCTTCCTCCTCTGCTTCAGCCTTGTCCTGGCTGGAGGTCCAGGGACCAGCGGTCTTGTTCTCCTTTTTCCACTTCATGCGCCGGTTCTGAAACCAAATCTTGATCTGTCTTTCCGTGAGGCAGAGCGCGTGCGCGATCTCGATGCGCCGCCGCCGAGTCAGGTAGCGATTGTAGTGAAATTCTTTCTCCAGCTCCAGGGTCTGGTAGCGAGTGTAGGTCTGGCGGCCTCGTTTGCGGTCAGTTCCTGTGCACAGCATTTAGAGGAAAATCAGTGAGTAAAATCAGTGAGTACGGAAAACGCCAAGATAGTGCCCACCTCTCTTTTAGACCCTGTATGTGATTTGAAGTCATGGGTGAAGAAGCCCATTTTCCCACTAAACCAAATTCTGGCTTTCCATACCCCAACCCTTACTCCAGCTGCAGTTTCCCCTAATTGCAGAATTTTCTACAGGCTTCTCAAGGCAAACATTCCCATTTTCCATCCAATAAGTCTTTTTCAGCCTGGAGCTTCTGAACCCAGGAAAGTAACCTGCTGGCTCTTAAACAGCTCTGCCCCTAAGGGGTGCAAGTGGGATGAGGGGAGGTTAAATCTCCTTTCACTCTCTGGGATCAAGGACCCTAAACCCCCTCTTTTGAATGCTGATCTGATGGTCTTTCAAGTAGAGACCAACAGAAACCATGCAAGTGACCCTGGAGTGGGGTGCCAGGCCTGGCTTGAGAGCATTTCCCAAGAAGAAAAGGAGACAAAGGGGCCCCAAAGGCCCAGTCTCCCCAACTCATCCCCAGCATGTTGTGGAATGAGAAGGTAAGAATTTGTAGATTTCCTTGGAGCAAACAGTTGGTCTGACAGCAGTGACCCTCTGATGATTCTTTTCCAGTGAGTGGCTAAGCTTCAGCCAGGGCCAGGCTGTCCTGCTTGCCTGCTTGCCTAGACAGCCCAGCTCTTTAAAGCAATCTTTGGGCCTCCAGGAAGGCACAGGGGAAGAGGAGAGACAGTAGCCTGGGATAGGATGGAACATGGAGTATCTGGGTGGTGGGGCTGAAGGGTAGAGGGGAACTTCTGCCTTAGGCCCAGAACCCTGAGGAGACTGAAAGAGGTGCTGATGTCAGCCCTCCTGGGAAGGAGTCAGGGGAGGAGGGGCTAGGGGCCCTAGTTTCAAGTCAGATAAAAGCCAAGCTGAAATGCTTATGAGAAGAAAAAGTGGGGCTTTGATAAATCAACTGGAAAGGCAGTTAAACTATGGAGCAGATAAAGGGGTCTATAACCACCAATACTGATGGTGTGAGAGCTGGGCTCCTTCTGGCCCCTGATCATCACTGGGTTGTGTGCCTCTGACCATGAGTCTTGGGTCTTCTGGACTTTGGGGCTAGCTCCCACGTTCATCTGCTTTGAAACAGTGCAGAAAAGGATGTCTGGGTCAGACTTGGCAGGGACTCCATGGAACCTCAGCCTCTTGGGGTTCCTGTAGCAGCTGGCTGGGTGAACTGCACTCCCTAAGTTTTTATTTGGCTCCAGGGAGTCCTAGCCCCTTCCCCAAGAAGAGAGCCACTTATCTGGATTGACACCTCCAAACTTGGCCAGTTCTTTAGGGGTTCCTAGGAGCCCTAGGAAGAGCACCTGAGGAAACCAGCTGCACTCCCATGAAGCCTCTGCCCCTTTCTAGCTCTCCTGTTCCACTCCCCCACCCAAGTTCACTGGGATCAGGAGGCTCATCTCCCTCGGCCTCAGCCCCCTCCCTCCACCTGCCTCTCTAGCTCTGTGTCCCTGGCTGGGTCCTTTTCTCCTCCCGCCAGGCCTCTAGAGCCCACCTCTAATTGTCCTGATGGGAATAATCGGGGAGCGGGGTTGGCTGGAAAGGAAGGGGGAGGGGAGAATTGCTTAGCGCTATGGCCCCCTCCCCCATACCTTATCCGAGCTGGGGCAGTGGGACACACCCAGGGCTGAGATCCTTAGCTGGGAAGGGGGGAGAAGGGGGGAGACCCTAATAGCTATTCTCTGCAAACACCGGCCTTCCTCCGCAAGACAAACGGCCTCGTCTCTAGCCCGTGCCGGCGCTGCTGATAAATATTTAAAGCTAAAAGGCCGAGAGGAAGGGTGGGGGCGGGCTGGGGGCTCGCAGCGCCGTGGTGTCGGCGAAGAGAGATCCGCCGGGAAGCAGAGCAAGCCTGAGAGCACCGAGCAAATATGGGGGCGGGGACGGCCTGCTGGGTCGCGGCCCAGTGGGTGCAGCCTTCCAGGCCGACCTCCGGCTGGAGAGCACTCTGGACGCGGAAAGGGGCGCCCTGCCGGGAAGGGGGCGCCTTCCGGGTAATGTGCCCCGGCCCCTGGGGCTCGGGACAGCTCGGTGCGCGGCGTTACCTGAGCTTCGCATCCAGGGGTAGATCCGGAAGTTACTCTCGGCCGCCAAGTCCGAGTCCCTCTGCTCCTTGGCGCCCGCCGCCTTGGCGGAGTCGCCGGGACACACCCCGGAGAGGTTCTGCTCAAAGGGCGCGCAGTGCATGTTGAAGGAACTCGGCTCGAGCCCGTAGCCGGCCGCGTAGACGCCGGCCGCGCTCTGGCCCGCCATGCCCCCCCCGCCGGGGTACAAGCCCTGCATCGAGGCGGCGAAGGAAGCGCCCGAACCCGCTCCATAGCCCGGGCGCTGGGGGTTGGAAGCAAACGCACAAGAAGTTTGTTCGGGGAAGGCTCCGGTAGCGAAAACCGAACTTGAGGCTGGATATTTAGAAAATAAAGCATTCGCATAATACAATGAACTCATAATTTGGCCGGATGATTTGTAGGCAGGGACGTTTTAGTGTCGGTTTTACGAGATTCCTTGATATATTACAGAATTAGAGTCCAGATTTACACCAAAAAGGACCCCCTTTTTCCTCTCCGGACCACGTGACCCCCGCCCACGTGACGTCCCCTCCGCCAATGGCCGGGCCGCCTCCCCACGGCTCCCGGTAATACGGAAAAATTGTGTGGCGTTGGATTTATAAAATATGATCAATAATGAATGGGATAGCCGAACCCTGTGGATTGGGGCTAGGGGCTCAAGGGCCGCTGCCGACTCCCGCGGGCTGGAGGCAGCTTGCAGGCGAGATTTGGGGAGGAAGAGATTGAGTGGAAGGGAAAATAACCTCGGGGCGATCCGTATTGTCACCCCCCCCACCCATCCTCTTCAGCCCGTTACCCAGCGAGAGACAAATGCAGGGATTGAATGCATGCAACTGGGTGGGTGGGTGCTTGGGGCAGGTCTGTTCTTTATTAATCCGGGCCAATTGTGCACGGCAAGGCCTTTTGGGGAAGTTGGTCCTGTTCTCCCAAGACGAGGAATGAGGCGAGCCTGGCTCACGGCTCTGTCTCTCTTGGTGCCCCAGATATGCGGGCGGAGATGGAGCAAGGCTTCCTAGGTGCTCCTAGGGCACAGGATCCAGTCCACCGGCCTTGAACGCTGCGGTTTCTGGTGGCAAAAAATAAATAAATAAATAAAAAGGTTTGAAAGTAAAAGAAAGAAAGGGGTTGGGTGGGTGGGGAGAGAAAGGAAGGGTGGAGGGTAGTCCGGGCGCGCTGCTCTCCCGGTTCCCGGAGGCGGATGCCTCAGTGGAGCGTGACTACCAGAGAAGCAGAGGCAGCCAAGGAAGGAAGGCAGCCAGCCATGGCCTCAGAACAGAGAGAAGGTGGCCAAGTCCCAGAGAGGGAGAGGCAGGGAAGAGCGGTCTCCCTTCTTCTGCTCCCCCAACAACAAGAGTCCAAGAGGAAAAAAAAGTATGCTCAGCAGGCCTGCACTCCTCCTTTATGCCTGCCACCCCCCCACCTCCCCCCCCACCCCCGAAACACACACACTCGGGAGGACACACAGCAAAACAAAGAGGGAGGTGGCGGGGGACACAGCCACCAGCCCAGCCGCATGTCTCCAGCGTGGCCTGGGCGCCCTGGTCTCCCGGGCAGGGCAGCCTCGGAACGCGAGAGGAGGGGGTTTCTCTTGGCTCCCCTCCCTCGTTTTTCTCTCCTCCAATCAGGCGCAGCCGCCTCCTTCACCCCCAGCGCCCCTGGGCCGAAGGACTCGCACCACCTGCCTCCAGCCCCCGCCCCCTCCTCTCTGCGGCCTAGCCTCAGCAGGCGCAGGAGCCCTGTGACAGGCTCCCCACAGGTTCTGCAAGGCACCCGGGAGCAAATGAGGAGCTCTGGCCGGGCCAGTCTCGGTTTCTCGCTTGTAAACTTTATTGTAACTCTTCCGCCCTTTTCAGGCGCAGACAACAGAACAAAGTATAGAGGAACAACAAAATATATAATTAGCCCTCCCTCCCCCCCATAAAGCAATTCACGGATACAGGATACATTCTCTTCACAGTAAACCTAAGAACACTTGTAACAATTGCCCACAGCGCGCATGCTAACTAAAGTAACCTCTTTTGAGAAACACTTAAGACAAAATTGTCAAACCAAAGGGGGTGGGTGGAGAGGAAAAGAGAGAAGCCAGAGAGAAAGCCAGCGAGCTGGGGGGTGCAGCGAGGAGAGAGGATTGGGAGGGGAAATGAGGACGCAGCGAGAGAGAGAGAGAGAGAGAGAGAGAGAGAGAGAGAGAGAGAGACAGAGAGAGAGAGACAGAGAGAGAGAAGGGAGACAGAAAGAATTACGGCGTGAATAGGCAGTTTCATGTTGTTGGGAGAACTTAGCAGAAATCGGTACCTCGGTCATTACAAAGAAGCACGTTCAAAGGAAAAAAAGACCATTGCACAAGGAGGCTTTTTACATGGGGTGGGAAGGGGCATGGGGGGCTCAGCCGAGCCTTGGCCTCTCAGCCTCACAAGGCGAGGGGGTCCTTGCTTAAATCCTTTTCTTTCCCCCCCGGCCCCCAAGAGAAGGGAAGGAGATCCACGGTAGCTCACACACAGAAGCTATTACGAGATACTACCACTAGCGGGGACTAGCGCGGCGGGGGACTCTGCGGTGGGAGGCCGGGCTCCTGGCCCCGCTAGCGGGGCGAGAGCTCTCTCCGGCAGGGGCGCGCGGCGGCGGCGCGGCCGGGACCCGCGGACGTGCGGGCGGCCGCGGCCCTGGCAGTCCCAGCTGGAGCCTACTTCTTGTCCCCCTTCTGCGCGTCGCCCTCGTCCGCCGCCTCTGGGGCCCGCTCCAGCTTCTGTTTCTCCAGCTCCTCCTGCTCGCATTTGCTACTGGGGAACTTGTCTTTGTTGTTCTCTTTTTTCCACTTCATCCTCCGGTTCTGGAACCAGATTTTGACCTGTCTCTCTGTCAGTCCCAGCGCGTGCGATACCTCGATTCGCCGCTTGCGAGTCAGATAGGGATTAAATAGGAACTCCTTCTCCAGCTCCAGGGTCTGGTAGCGGCTGTAGGTCTGTCGGCCTCGCCTGCGTCCGGCGGCTGCTGGGAATGGGGGAAAGAGCGAGACAGAGGGGAGGGAGGGTGGGGGAGGGGGCAGAGACGGAGAAGGATGGAAGATTCGTGAACGAGCCTAGGAGACCAGTATAATAAGGGCAGGGGACCGTCTACCCCGTGCGGGGGCGGGGGGCGCGAGAAGGCCGCGGTCAGCGGAGGAGGAGGGGCGAGGGGGATCAGACACCAGTGAATCTAAGGGAGCCAGAAAGGGGAGCCCCCTCCCCTGGTACCCAGCACCAGAGTTGGGTAGGAGGTGGTTCAGATCTATTAAAAGTGCCATAAACTTTAGGAGGAAGGATGTGAAGGAGGGGGGAAAATAAGAATAAAAAAGCCGGGTGGGGACGAATGAACCCACCTTGAAAATTCCCCAGAGCCTCTGCCCCAGAAGAAAAGTTTCTTCAGGGTAATTAAACTATAAAGCAATTGAGAAGTGCAAAAGTTGAGCGCCCCCACTCCCACCACCCTCTCTTCACTACCCCCCATAAAACAGTAAACGGGGAAAAAAAAAAAGGAGAGGAAGAAGAAGAAAAGTAAGGCAGGGTGAGGGGTTTATAGATTCAGGAAATGTTTCTAAGCGACCCCCTTCAAGGGAAAGAAAAAAGAAAGAAAGAAGAAAGAAAGGGAAAAAGCGGCAGGCGATCGGGACGGAGCCGGCAAGTCTTCCAGAAGCTGGAGGAAATGCGCCCTGGCCTGCCCGGCCCCCTGCCCGGCCTTGGGCCCTCCCGGCCCCCTCCTGCCCCTGCCGGCCCCGAGGCGAGCTCACCTTGCGGGCGCATCCAGGGGAAGAGCTGTGTGGGCGACGGACTCTGCTCGGAGCCCTCGGCCTCCTCGCCCAGGCCGCTGGCGGCGGCAAGCTTGCAGTCTGCGTACTGCACCAGGTCTGGATCCTGCGCACCGAATAGGCTCTGGCGTTGCAGCGGGTCGTAGCCGTAGAAATTGCCGGGGTCCCCGTGGCACGCCACGGCGCACGGGTTCTGCTGGTAGGGAGCCGTGGACAGCGACGACGGCCCGTGGTAGAACTCCTGGATTTGCGAAGGGTGCTGGAAGCTGCCGCCGCTGCTGGGACCGTACACCACGGTGGGTCGGCCGCCCAAGTCCTGGGCGAAGCCGCAGTCATAATAATTGGGGCGCAGGGACTCCCCGGTTTTGTATTTGGAGAACAGTGAGTTGACGAAATAAGAGCTCATTTTATTGAATTTTGAGGCGGCGGCGGCGGCGGAGGCTGTAGTTGGGGGCTGTTGGGGAGGGGGTGGGGAGGGGGAAAGGGAGGGAGAGAGAAAAAAAAACGCGGATTCGCCGGCTTCTAGTCACCCTCGCCAGGAAAGGAGAGGGAAAGAGAGGAGGAAAAAAAAGAAAAGAAAAGAAAAGAAAGAAAAGGCGAAGAAGATCTCGAAGTCGCCACACTTTTTGTGATTTCCAGGAATAGAAAAGGACAGAGAAGCCTCCAAAAGTCTAAGCTTGCATGGCAGCCGCGGCTCGCTCGCCCTCCCCCCACCCCCCACCCCCCAAACAAAAATATACCGCCACTTAAAGAGGTCCTCGCTTTACATTTCGAAGAAGGGATGCCAGTTCATAAACAGTTTTCGGTGATTTACTTCCCTGCAAATGAGTTGTTTCATATTTTGCACTGTCTTTTCATGATCATTTGCATCCATTAGAGACCCCGCATCCTATTGGCTTCTTCGTACTCCTCCCGGACAGAACGCAGAGTGAGGGTGAGAGCGAGAGAGAGCGAGCGAGAGAGAGAGCTAGAGCGAGAGAGCGCCAGGGAGTGAGGAGAGAGCGGAAAAAAAAAAAAGGAGGGGAAGAAAAAAACAACCAGGGAGAGAGAAGGGGAGAGGGGGAGAGAGAGGGGGAGAGGGAGAGAGGGTGAGAGAGAATGAATACGGATTAAATCTGTTTAACTACCTACATTAATGAGATATCTCTCGCCTCACAACAAATCAAATACCTTCGCAGACCACCCCCAAAGACTGATGTGGGGGAGTCACGGAAAAAAACACGCACACACACATACACAACGCGCCAGGCGTAGGCACGCTGTTAATTTCGCGATTTTAACGAGGCAATTGGAGTCTTTCTAAATGTCAGGGTCGCTTCGGAAAAATGTAAAAGAACACGGTTTAATTGCGCCGAGTTTTAAAAGGTCCTATAAATGTAATTGGTATTTTAATACAAGTTATCAAATCATACAGCTTCCTCTCCTAAACATATTTTCAAACAAACGAGGTAGTCATATTTAAAGCTTTAATGATCAATTTCCTTATTATTGATAAAGGTTTAACTATCGTGTGGAGGGAATTGGCTGGGTAACCGGCCCCCCAAAAAACGGCTGTAAACTCTTTAACAAACTATAAAACGCAATAAAGCCGGAGTCTGTTGTTGTTTATGCCGCAGCGCATAAAAGCTGTTAGCATTTTACGAGTTCTTTCCTCTACAGCTATAAAACTGCAGCTTCGATCGCCCCCGCCGCCCGACTGCAGCACGGTGGGGGTGACGAAGCCGAAATGAGAATGATTATGGGGATTTTTTTCGGCACAAACGGTGACTTTTCTGAGATTTTCATCTCCTTCTATCCTGGCAAGCACCTGCCCCCACCCCTTCTCTGGAGCCCCCAAAAGGTCCCCTCTCTGCCCTGCCCTCTCTGCCCTGCCCTGGCCAGTCACAAAACTTCCTCTCATTAAACAAATAAGCAAAGATTTTCTGTGAAACAGGGATCTGGGAGATCTTAAGAAGGGAACGGGAGGGAAGAAGAAACTTTCTGGTTAATGAGCAGTGGTTGAAGCACAGAGCAAAGTTCGAGCTGCCACTGCCGATTCTGCAGGTTTGTGCAATCTCTGCTTGCTGAAAAGGGGGTCTCCCGAAGGCCCTTCAGCCCAGTCAGCACTTTTGAGGGCAGACTTTGCATGAGGGGAGAGGGCCTGATGCCATCAGAGGGATGAAGCCCCACTGGGCTACCCCACAACTGCACCTCAGGACCCAGTAGCCAAGCCCAATTATTAGCAGCTCCCAACCTTCTCAGGCCGACCCCCACACCTTCTGCAGTGCCCTAGGGTGAGAGGGCACCACTGAGCCCATCAACGCATCAAAAGGAAAGAAGGTTCGGTATCAGACCCTGGCACCTGGCCTTGGTGTCTGCTGTCCTATGCTCTCAGCCGCCCTAGGCAGTGCCTGAAGAGTATGTGTTTGGGAGGCATCTATTAGTCCTCAGTGTCCCCAAGACCTTTTGAGCCAGTCACCACTTAAACTGACTTCGGTGTGGGATTCAGATAGAGTAAGGTTTCTAAGTCCCCCATTTTCTCTCCTTTCCCCTTGGGGAGCCTCTGGTTAAACCTGGCTCTCCCTGCAGACCTGGGGACCAGAGGCCTGAACACGGAAAGCTGGAACAAGCTGACTGGGTGCCACACTCTGTGGCCACTGCATTCCCTGCCTACCGGGCCTCACGATGATGGTGGCCAGGCTTTAGAAGGCCTCAGTCTGAGGGTCAGAACCAATAGCCTCCTGTAGCAGCAGATTGGTAAGGAAGAGGAAGGAGAGAAAGAAAGAAAATTTTGAGCAACAGAAGTGGAGGCTTTACAAATACATTCAATCCATTGTTTATTCAGGAAACAGTGGTTTGTTTTTCGACGGGCACCTTTTGGGGACCCCATACACCCCAACATTTGTAAAAATGAAACTCACTTTTCCAAAGGGAACCTTACCAGTGAGGTCATTTAGTTCTTCAAAAGTGAACCCAGAGAATGAGAGAGGGGCTAGAAGGGGGAGAGAGGTAAAGGAAAGGAGGAGTGGAGAGAACCAGGGCTTTGAATTTTCAGCGCGTGGCTGAGGGGACCGTGAGGCAACGGAGGGCCGAGTTAAGTTGTTGCGGAAGCAAACATTTTTATCAAGTGCAGAGGATTTTATGGTCATTATTTGAAAACTCACCGGCGAGGTACAAATTCAATGGCTTGTTCTAAATCATCTCCACACCGTGCCAGAAATTCCTGATGGAAGGAAAATGTTTCTATTATGGGGGGGGGGGGACCAGAAAGAGCGAGGAGACAATTTATAAACACCCAGCGGAGGGCAGATTTATTAGAGAAATTCAAGTTGAGGAGAAACTCCGCTTACCTCCTTACATTGAGTCTTGGTGGGGGAGAGGAGATGTTGCAGCTGGGGTGATTTTGAAGGGGAGGGTGTATCTATTGCTGGCGCAGGTTTGTCGGATGGAAGGCAGGGATCCGGCGGGGCCGGGAGGACATAGGAGATTTGGAATGCAAGGGGCTGTGGACAGTCACCAGGGTGCGGGTCTCAAAACGAAAGTGCCCGGAGTCCAGACCTCCAGCTGCTCAATGAGGAAAGGACCGGCGCCCCCAGGTTTGCCTGCGGCCAGGGCCAAGGCGCGCGGAAGCCGCAACTCTCACCTGGAAGCCGAGGAACCCAGGGAGAACCGAGCTCCAGCGTCCTGACGCCGCGCCCGCCTTTGCGCCCATGGGAAAACGCTCATTCTTTGGGGCCGCGCAAAGCATCCAGAGGCGATATCCGAGCTTTCCCGCACCCCGCTGCCCTGGGGAGCCCCTGCCCCTTGCCTAGATCGCCCTGTGCGAGCCCAGCCCAGCCCCGGACTCATACAAAGGCTTGCGCCCAGAGCTTGCACACCAGAGCTTGCGCCGGTGCGAAGCCGCCCTGCCGGCTCCGAGCACCTCCGAATCCCCACAAAAGCTATGGCTCCATTCCCCCACACAAATTGGGGGGTCTCGGGCTGGCTTATGCGATTGATTTTCTCTCTAGCTGGTGGGCAGCCCGCCTCAGGGCAGCTTCCTCTCCATCCTACCTTCTTTTGCCGACTCGCCCCTCTCACCTGACCTGCTCACCCGCATCCAAGGACATTCCTTTCGCCTCCCTTCACTGAAAATCTCGTTTTTTCGAATCAATTCTTCTTTTGGATTTGGACCCATTATTCCTATTATTACTATTATTCCCCGTTTTCACGCATTTGTTGCCCCACGGAACACAGCAACTGGGTGAGAAGCACTGAGCCCTCCTCGTGGGGAAAATTCAGAAATTGACCATTTGAGAAGATGGGGAACACTACTATAACTGAAATCTATAAAATGGGGGTAAGGCCATAAAGAGCCCTATTTTTTTTTATTGGGGGCAAATTATTCATGACTTTTGGTAGCACTCAGTTCCTGGATTCAGGGCCGACCAAGGCGCGGTGCGGGGCGCAGACATCCTGAGCCGCCGCTCCCGGGAGTTTCACATGGAGCAAGGGTGCCATCTAGCGGCTCCTTTGCGAAAAGGCGCCGCAGCCACCGGCTCCACCAGTTTTCTGGGAGAGTAGCCGCAGAAGCGGCCAGCAGGAAAAACTTTCAAAACTAGCAGGAAAAGGGGAGGGATAGGTAGCGGGCGTCGGGATCAGGAAACGGTGCATGAAATTGTGTAGATAAGCTAAAAAACAGAAAAAAAAAAAAAAGAAAAAACACCACACAGAGGAGGAAAACAAAAGAAGCCCTAAGCTTTTTTCTTTCTACGTACACCTTCCACCCCTGTCCCTAATTTCTAGTGGAGACCACAAACCAGTGCGCCCTTTGTGGCCTGTAAAAAGGGGGACCGCGCACTTTTCAAACTTCACACGACTGTTTCAAATCCTGAGGAGAAACAATTGGGCTTTTTGTCGTCGGGGGAGAGGAGGCCTGACAGGATGGGACGAGACTGTAAAAGAATCAAGAGGCTGCCCGCGCCCAGACGTCTGGCCCCGCCGGACCTGCGTGTGTGTGTGTGTGTGTGTGTGTGTGTGTGTGTGTGTGCGCGCGCGCGCGCGCAGGAGACTCCTCGTTTCGGACGCCTGATTTTGGAGGGGGTGTGAAGAACAAAGACAAGAGTCCCAATTGCAATCTCTGAAGCATTTGAGACAACAGAGTGTTCTTCCCCGGCTTCCCTCCTCTCCCTCTCTGACCCCAGCCCCCTCATCCCCAGCCTCGGAAACCCGGAGTCCCGCGTTCTGGGTGTGTGAGGGTGAAGGCTGCCGGAGCGCGGCCCTCCCATTCCCCCGCCCGGCCGGCAGCCCCGGCCCAGCTGCGGCTCTCTCAGCTCCGGAAAGTTTCCCCTCGCTGTTTGTTTTGCTGCTGTTTAGTTTCTTAACCTTCAGAAATTTATACGCTATAAACTTTTATAGCGGTCATATTCTTTTATTGCTGCGCACACGGCATTGAATTCCTCTCCCGGCTTCTCTCTGCCTCGCACTCTGGCGGTCTCCCTCTCTGAATCTCTCTTTTATGACAACTGATTTCCCCATCTCCAGCTTCCGAGCCTCCGCATCTTCGCCTTTGTTTGTCTTTAAAGAAGCAGCCCTGGGCTGGGGACCCAGACGCTGCTGGCAGAGGCCCCTCCAAGCGCCCTCGCCCCTACCACGCAGCACTGCCCTCTGTTCCCCTCTGTTCCCGCCTCGCTGAGCGTTTGCTTTAGGCAGAAACCGACGTTCTGTGTTTGCTGTCAGCACTGGCTGGGCCTGGGTAGCCCAGGATGGGGCAGGAGCCTGGTCTACACCCGCAGTAAAGTCAGATTCATTTTGTATCCCCAGTGAAACCCTCCTTGGAGGGTGCCTGTCCGGGCCTGCCTGACGCCGAG